TTACTTACGTCAAGCTTTGATGCACGTGTGGGTTCAGCCGGTGCTGAGGCATTCAAATTCTAACAATACGTTATTTCAATAGTTTTCTTTTTTTTGGACACCCTGTATAGGGCATGAAATTATAAGCGTCAAACTTATGTCTAGAAGCATCCCCCACTCACTCCAATGATGGATCATTCTAATATTGACTCCCGTTCCTAATACTGTGCATGCACTTGTTATTTGACGACGTCATGTAGAATTGGGGAGGGGATTAATTTACGTATATTCGTGAGGTGTCCAAGAGGCTGCTCCATTTACTGTTCTAGAACATTTGGAATACTGTTCTAGCTGGAACGATATGAAATGGAGTGCACACGGCCGGTGTTCTGGAACAGTGTTTAGTTTATTATATATGCGTGCAACCATGCACTACTATATTCATTAATTAGGGGCAGACCATTAGAAATCCCGGGAGGGGGGGGGGGGTGAAAATTCCCCAAAAAAAATTCGTGCAAAGGAAAATGCCTGGAAAAAAAATTCGTGCAGCCATTGCGTCAGAGAAAAAAAATTCGTGCAAGCAAACAGCGAAGTAGAAATAGTCTTGAAAAAAAATTCGTGCAGAGGTTAAATGCATTAAAAAAAAATTCCTGCAGAGACACGAGACTGAAAAAAAAATTCGTGCCGCAAAAATTTTATACCCCCCCTCCCGGGATTTCTAATGGTCCGCCCCTAACAATATTGTTCACGGGGTGCAGCACAACATTGTTCACTCCTGTTTGAACAACGCCGAACAACCTGATCAATTTTTACCCGTGTAGTGTTACTGTAAACAGAGTGAAATAATAAAGTAGGGTGAATCATTGCCACTTGCAGGGGTTAATAGGTAAACCTCAAACCATTGTGTCACCAATTTAATATTTGTGTTTCAGTGTGGCTTGGATATGCAACTCAAATATATTGCTTGGTTAAACTCTCGGGCTGTTTGAAAGTATGTAACCTGCTTACCTGCATCAAAGCAATGGCCAATTTCCATATGTCAAATAGAAGGAAGCGAGGACGACAACCTAGCAGTCTTTCTGTCCTGTTGTTTCTGCTTGATCCAGATAAAAAGATCATAAAAGTTTCAAGAGAAACAAAGAAAGAGGTAGTAGAAAAGTTAATGCAGGAAGGATGTGGGCCACCACAACCAGGTAATTGAGTGTGGAATTATTGTAATTCTCAGGGTTTATACAGATATTGCGTGCAGCACACTCCCTATCAGGGTTTTTCAGTGATTGGTTACATTGTGAATCGTGGCGGACATGGCATTTGCAGCATTTTGTAAACACATTTTGATGTATTATGTTATGTAACATATGACAATTACATTGTATGAGTGTGATTTGTGTTCACTTATTTGGTACAAGATTTTTACAATCTCAAAAGCCATCCCCCAGTGTCTGCCACTGATTGTGAATAGACAGAAACGGAAGCAGACAGTCAGGTATACTGTGAACTTACAAATGGCACTTTAAGCAGCCGCTATTAGTCCATACCATTGAACTATAAATAAACTGGAAGGCTAACTCAAGGGGGGGGATTGAAGCCAATGCATTTTAGTTTTTCTGAGTTAGGCGTGTAAAAAAATACCTGTGGTTCCGGTTTCATATCGTGAAAAAATTGGGGTCTGTAGGTCGGAAATAAAAAATTTTTTGAATATTTTTTCATGGTTTTGGCGGGTTTTTGCTGGGCGATTTGTAGTAGAGTCCCGACATCAATATTAACTAGAGATGCATATTTCCTATGGACGGATTTAGGCAACTTGGTTCAATAATTAGTGTGACAACAGACGCCATTTTGGCACGTTGCATGGGCAGCCCTCGACCACCTGGAGAAAATATTGTCGGTAGGTCAATTACGTTGAAAAAATAATAGGGTCGGCAGAAAAAAGTAGGGTCGGTCAGGAACCGGAACCACAGGTATTTTTTTTTATGCCTTATGAGCAGAAATACTCAATACTGAACGTTGGGCTATATATCAAATTGAAGCTATTGAAAAATGCTATTTGGTGTAGAAATTTCAAGACTGTAGCTAAAAGGGAAATATTGAAAAAACTATAAACATAATTACCGATAATTTGCTTTTTTGTATTTTTTAAATATTTTTCTTTTGGCTGAAGTCTTGAAATTTCCACACCGAATAGCAATTTTCAATAGCTTCAATTTGATATATAGCCCGACGTTTGGGGTCAAGTATTTCTGCTCATAACTCAGAAAAACTATTTTGGCTTCATCAAATCATAGGCTTTCATCATAGCAGTTAGCCTTCCAGTTTATTTATAGTTCAATGTTCCATACCTCATTAATGATCTGCCCCTGACCTATGTGCATGTTTAAGCCACCCTGTCAACTTCCCCTGTGGGAGGAAACTGGAGTATATATTGTTTTATCATTTACATCAGATGTGTTGACAGCCATTTCATTTCTATGTTGTTTTAGTTGACCTCAGTTCATTAATGAATAATAATGATTGACCCCACTCATATTATGCTAAAATATCTCATGATTGAAACCCAAGAATGAGAACTTTAGAGACAAGTTGATAATAAAAATTGTGTGCCCAATTCCCATAGTGTTGCTAGTCACCATTCCCATTTACCCTGTATAATTTATTTATTTCTCTACTCTTTGATGCCAGATTATTTTACTCTGTCTAACACCAGATAATTGTACTCATCAAAGGAGAGGTTATAATATTTACCCATGTGTCTAGTTAATCCATTAAGTTGCACCACACATGCTCAACAACCAATGGGTGTTTACCTATTATTTTTAAATAGAACAGTATTTATTTGGTACATATGGGTAATTTTCTGCAGACTGTTTTAATAACTTAATATTTTTACAGGACATTGTGTCAGTGATGGCAAAGTGGAATTTTCATTGGGGCTGACAAATGAACAGTTCAAACAGAAGTTAGTTGAAATTTATCCAAAATTGGAAAATGCTGCTTTTGTCTTCATGAAAGCTGACAAACACAACACATTGGAAGAACTGAACCATGGTATGTGCTGCTTCCGATGTTACACGCCAGAAAATGTTTACCACAGTGAACGAGGACAAGGGAAGCTTTATATAAAATTGATTCAGGAAAGCGAGGTATGTTGATTGTATTTTAAGCAGTGGCGGAAACTTTGCGAAATATTGTTGGAGGGGGAGTGCTGAAGGCACAAAATTTCTAGGGGAATCCTTGAAATGATATAATTGCAGCAATCCGACAGCACATTTTGTAAGAAATTTCAGGTTTTCAAAACATTAATTTAATGATGCATTTTGTGATAAATCATATGCCAAGCATAAAAAAAATACATTTCAGAGAAAATATTGTAGATGATAAATACATTTGTGAATGGAATTGCAAGGTGGTTTTATTAACTCTTTTCTTGACAGCTTCTAGAAGCTGACGACTTTGTATGTTCATATCTTCAGTTCAGTGCATGCTATGAAGACAATACCACCATTCAATTCAGTGAAACAATATTAGTTTTAGTTATTGCCAACATTGTAAGGATTTATGGCCTTAGAAAGTCAAGCGGGATCATATATGATCAAATTATGCAATTGTATGAACCTAATAATATAGATTAGCCATACTTTTTGCCGCCAAACAAAAATTCGATCCCTTTGGACAGATCTTCTTTGTAATATAGTCTTGATTGAATCATTATATCAAAAACACTATTTAGAGTATGTGTCATTTCCGAGCCTGTATCTTTAAATTAGCATCTGTTATCACAGTATTTCCATTTCTTGTCCAACTGTGAGCTAATCCCAACCAGAAATACAATTTGGAAACATCAAAACAATGCAATGTTTGTATCGTATGACTCTGGGAATGCCAGATGCCATCTCGCTACGGGAGCTCCTTATTGGCCAAGTATAGCATGTGGCATGTGCATTACATTTTTCTAAATGACAGCTACCTAAAATTATTGGGGGGCAATTGCCCCCCCCCCCCCCTTAGTTTCTACCTCTGATTTTAAGTCTTGACTGAATACTGCTTTGTAACCTGTCCATATATATACAGGATTTTTAATGGTAGTGCCATGTTTGTGTATGCCAGTACATTTTGTTATTTCTCTCAATGTATCTTGAAAAGTGATAGAAATTTCAAGTTTTGAAAACTGGCCCAATTGCCAAAGTTTTGGTAAATTCTTTTCTGATCTTTTCTTCCCATCACTCCCCACGCATGTACTTTACTCGGTCTGGAAACTTCATGTGGGTAATTTGTAAATACTTATAGAGGCTCTGCAAAGGAGAGACACATGTGTATAATAATACTAATAATAGTAATACAGGGTGTTAGCTAGCCCATATACTGTCCGTTTGACAGACTCTTCCCAATTGAAGTAGCTAAGGGGCTTTCCCAACTGGGTCTACTGGAAGATTTTCATTTTTTCTGATGAGAAAGTGCATTGCGTTATTTTATATTATTATATCAAAGAACGTTTTATTTACTTTTTCCCATTAACTATTTTCTCAAAATGTATCTCGTTTCATTCATTGGGTGTGTATTCAATTGGGACACATTTTTTGCTGAGTGAGACATCTGGTACAATCTATCATCTGTGGTTTTACTACTCGCAATGTTTGCTGACGCGTGTTCGTTTGAATCGTCCTGCCTGGAATCTGCATGCGCGCATTTCATGAAAATTTCGCTACGTTCATTTAAATTATATATAGATAGACCTAGAATTATAACTACGGAGTATTTGCAATTTCTCTTCTAAACATAAATTGCAACTATTTCCACCGGCTTTAACTGAACTTGCTTGGGATAAGCTGGACCATTTGATTTTAAATTGTTCTCCATTTCGTTTTAATTTCCAAACATGTTTAGAAAGTTCAGTTTCATTCTCGTACTTAATATCATTGAATGATTTATGTATCTCTCCTTAAATGTTGTCGCTGCATGTCATACCAATGTAGGTTTTTATATCGTTGTTGTCTTTCGTTTTTACCTCGGCTTGATAAACTAAATCTTTCGTCAATTAAGCACATGTTGTTAAGCGGGCATGCGTTTACATTTCTGCAGTTACAAAGTTTTTCAATGTTGTTATCTTTGGTATAGATTCTTCGGATTTAGATTCTCTCAATACGCGTTTGTTATGTCTCGATATGACGCTCTTTACATTATTCATACAGCTATAGCTAATTTTGATCGTGTTTCGGTTGAAGATCTTATGAAGGGGTGATGTTTTGGGAAAATGTTTGTTGATTAATTTCAAGAAATCTCGGGCGACATTGGTTCGTACGTTTTTACTATACGGCGGGTTGAACCAGATAATTCTTCTTGTACGTTTATGTTTCTCGTTTTGCGATCGACTTTCGGTTGTAGGCGTTGTTTCAGCAGTTGAGTATTGAAGTTTGGTGTTGTAATTACTCTGCTTCAGGGCGTATAGTCGTAAGTGGAAGCAACAGAACCAAAGTTTGCTTGTCAGATGATAATGACGCGATTCTGCGGTTGATTGCTGCTGGGAGTTGTTTGGTGATTGGTGGTGGATGGTTGGATTCTTTGTGAATGTAGACAATGTACAGTGGGTCGTTATTTGGTTTTCTATAGGGCTTGTATGACTCATTAGTAAGATTAAGAGTATAACATCGAGGAACAATTATATTTTATCGCCATGCAAACATTCAAAGAACTCATTAACATCGAGGAAGTTAACAGTTTTGTAGTTTACCTCGGCAGTGATCTTCAGTCCCAATTCTTGAAATGCAGAGCACAGGTCTTTTCTTGCTTTATCTGCTAGTCGTGGACTGGTACCTTTGATCAAGGCTAATCCGTCATCTCTGTACAATCCACAGGGGGTCCAACTAAGAGCTGTGTTATGAATATGAATAAAACATTAATATTTAAACGTATATGAATAAAACATCATAGCGTAATAAATTTAAATTATTGCACTTACTTGTATAAATCATAAGAGCTTGCATTTCCACCTAATAGCTTCAAACAGGGCGCTTATATATGCTCAGAAACGTTGATTAGAACGATTGTTCAAATATGGCGAAATATGACGTTCCAACGAAAATAACAAAGGATTGCGGGCGCGCGAGCGAAAAGGCTAGGGAAGAAATAAGTAAAAGGGATGAAACAAATATCACGTGACTTTTTAAAATGCTTCTACACTATCCGTTTAAGCTTTTTGTGGTATTTTTAGGGCTCAGTAGATGTTCTCTTACATGAGCAAGCCTAGTAATTACCAAAAAAGCACTGATCAATGTAATTTATGTGATTTATAACAGCGGACGTTCTTAGCCGTTTTCGCGAGATGTGTTCCATAAAGCCTGGTTCACGTATGCCTGCGACTGTATCATTATGCCTCTACTTTATACACATATATAATTTATATGTAAATCCAAGTTTACTGTAGTAAAATAGAGTTTAAAAACAATAAAAATGCATATCATGGAAACATTGGTTTTTACAATACGACTCTTATGAGACATTGCCATTTTGGCGGTTCAATGAATAAAAATGGCAGGCTAAAAATTATTTCACCTGCCAAAAAATTTTAAACTGGCAGGCCATATTTTTTCTCTACTTCGAGCCCTGCTTATACAGGTAATGTCTTAGTGCATCTTATCACCATGTTAGAGTGTCATGTGAAACACTCCCTTCTCGGATGAGGATGATCTCTTGCACTGTTGAAGTGTACGTTTGACATATTTTTCGGTAGTTCCAATCAAAACTACAGCATTATTTTAATGGAGAAATACTACTGTACATTAAATGCCTATAAACTATTTCCTATATTTTAGATATCCCAGTGTACGCATGGAGTATCTCCTGTTAAAAAATTGCGTGTTGTCCCTGGTCACATCCAGCAACGTTTTGTACCAATTCAACCAAAACTATCACCAGAAGTCACAATTACAGGAATTGAATCAAGGTCATTGTTGGTGATGACGCCAGGTGCCATGCCAGTACTGGATTTGTCATCAGCACGAACAGTTCTTAGTTCTGGTAATATAGTACCACAACGTCAATTTCTATCAGCTATTGTTCCCCAGACTGAACCAACACCACCATGGTACAGTACTGTTAACATATCAACACAAAGTCAGTTATCTTCAGCAGTGATTTCCCAAAGTTCATCAAGCCAACCGGTAGATGTGATATTACAAAATCAGTTACCAACATCAATTATTGCTTCTCAGATTGAATCCAACCAATCACTTGACAGTTCTGTTAGTATGGCACCACAAGACCGGTTACATGCACCACCACCTATGTCAAGCCAAACAATTCAAGGATCTGGCGATGTGGTGACACAAAATCGGCTACCAGCACCAACAGCTATTGTTTCTCAGGCTGCAACAAATGCGGCGATGTCACCGTTCCAAGATCGTATTACTACGATGACTCGAAATCAGATACACACATCAACTATTGTTTCTGGGTCTATGGCACGCCAAGAACAGTTTTCTAGATCTATTGGGGTTCCTGACACAAACTCGGAGCCATCTGAACTACCGAATGCGGAAGAAATTCTTGACGAACTAGGTTGGTTAAATAATGATCTTGGTTCGAATGCTTTGATAGGTGCTACTGACACACAAGATGAACGCATTTCAAACGACCAGGTATAGTTTGTTTACCGTATATTCAGGATAAGTTTTATTTGGCTTGAACAACCATGAAAAGCTGTCCACGGCACCTTAACACAAATTATGCAGCAAAGTGTATAAACTGTTAGAGCATGTACAAGAATATATTATTCTGTCTGTACAGTATACAGCTTGAAAATTGGGTAGTTGTTATTGTGTAGTTGCTCTCGTTTTTCAGATAAGAGGTGGACTATTACAATTTGGGGGAGGGGTGGTAATTTTTTTCCCGCAGGATTTTCTACCTACAAGGTTGTGCAGGCATTTTTTAGAGCTAAATGTATGTTGATTTTTTTTAAATTACGTAATTATATGTCGTACTGACATACATCCTTTAACACACGTGTACCGATTTTATATACTCAATTTTAATAAATGGCTACATCTAATAGAAAATAATAATCCAATTTATTTACTGTCGTTCCAATTGAAGTGTTGCTCAAATATTGATTCAATACATTACCTCGGGCTGACCAATTCATTTGATCAAGTTCCTCGAGATATTCATATACTTTCTAGTATAATTGTAAACTTCCTGTTGACTAGTTTGAATGCACCAATCACCTTTGTTGTTTGTGCAACTAACCAATCATAAATAGAAAGGAAGTGACCAGAAATGATCAAATACTTGGAATTGGCTCTTTCACAGGAAGTGTGTGAATATCTCGAGGAACTTGATCAAATGAATTGGTCAGCCCGAGGTAATGTATTGAATCAATATTTGAGCAACACTTCAATTGGAACGACAGTAATGCATTTTATAAAATCGCCTGATGATTGCCTTATACAAGATTAATGAAATTTTAATTGGCTGTATATAACAACAATCATGTCTATCAATCTATTAATGTGTGGATAAGTATACACAATCTGATACAAGAAATCCTTGCGGAGTGGCTAGTTGGCCGTACATCATTACTTCTATACTGTTTGCAATAAAAAATCCTGAATGCAAAGAAGTTGATGCATGCATGCATGGTATTCCATGTATAAAATACCTTGTTGTATCATTATTTTAACCATGCATGCATGTTTTTCCTGGCAATATAACCATTCAAATTGGAATCTTATATCAGTTTTGTATCTAAGCATGCAGGTTAATATTTTCAAAAAAGAACCATATGTTCGTCATTAGATTTATATAAATGAAATATTTTTCATTCGATGCTGTAGCTGGACACACTGCTAGAAAATAGAAAACTTGCTATTGAAGCCACATACATGAACACTGCTAGTGAATGTATGAGAGATGAGTTTGACTCCATCAATCTTTTTATTAAAATTGCCATGTATTAAACTAAATTATGCCATGCAGTCACGCACGAATTTTTTTTCTTACCTTGCGTTTTTGCATGATTTTTTTTAAAGAACTGATCTTGCACGATTTTTTTTCTGGAATTGCCTCCCCCAATTTCTAATGATCCACCCCTAATGAATCAAGGCTTATATTTGAAAGCTACAATATATTATTTGAAAGGTAATATATATATATGGCCTATAACTTCGTAATTACACGATTCACATCACAAACTTTATAGGCTTTACTTGGAGAAACCGAGGTTGTTATACACATGCAGTATTTACCGTTTCCTTTAAAGTTAATCCATGCTAATATATACTGTCAGTTTCTTGTCATGATGAGCTCTGTTTTCTGTGCGTAGGCTTTTGCGCAATAGACCAATCGGACAACAATTGGAATAGTTATGGAAATGTGTGTTAGCATATCTCGGTTTATTAATTTTTGTAATGAATTGGAATAACATAATTATTAATATAACAAATTATTAAGGAAAGTGATGTTCGTAAAAGTAATTATTAAGAAAATTGTTCGCACAGAAAAGGTTGGGGTAATTCAAACGCCCACCACTAAGAACTAGTATCCACGTCAAAAAGAATTGCGCCAGAAAACGGGGAGGAGGGTAAAGCTTGATTTCAGATGAAGATGTTTTGCAGCCGACATGCAGAGCAGAGTGAACCGATCCCGCATTTTAGTTCAACTAAATACCGCGAACTCCTACCCGTTTTCCCGCGCATTACAATTATGTGATCACAAAATTTCCGGGAAAATCCCAGTAGGTTCCTATCTATTTATATAGTTCAAGTGCAAGAAGCAATAAAATTTTTATTGGTATGCCAATAATTCCTTTACTGTATCTTACATGAACTATCTTTTTTGCAGAGAGACCTGGTTGTAGAAGAACTACCACAAGAATGTAAGTTTATAGAACTTTGCTTGTCCAAAATATTTTTCTATACAGTTTATTAGGCCCGCAAGTCACAATAGCGAGGTTCAGATTTGACTTCCACTAGCTACTATCTGCAGGCTTTCATAAAGCCGAGTTTGAGAAGTGACGGTTGGCAGGTCGATCGGCCAAGTTAGGCAAATGAAATCCTTCATTCCTTCTATAATGAAAATATGAGAACCTTGTCATTGGAAGTACTTGTCAAAACTGCCTGATTTTATTAAATTACGTTTCACATTACAGCCAGGGTGTATAATAAAATGTACACGCTTTCAAATTCAAATTAGCCATACTACCTTTTAAATATTCATTGCTCTGCAGTAAACTGGCCCATTTTATATATCTTATGCAGACTTGAATAATGCTTCATTTAAATATTTTTCTTTGAGTTGTGTATTTGTTCATACAAACAGAAGTTATCCTAAATTCCCATGTGCAGAAGACCTTGTGTTTTCACGCATTCATTAATTCGAGAAATTATACTGCTGTCAAATTACTACAATAGGTTATGGTTAATTTGAATTTGAAATGTTGTACTTTTTGACACACCCTGCATATAGGCGGTGTTTAAATATTTCTAAAACTGTTTAGAGTAACTAAAAGTATTCTAGAACTTTAAATAATATATTGTTTAAATATCACATATAAATCCCTCCCAAGAGGGTTAGCCTCGCATTTTGTTGTTTAGCTTCTATTGTTTCACCGCCATTGTGCAAATGCCCGGAAAATTTCGTTTTTAGAACCCTAAAAAATCAGATGCTTCAATTGACCTGAATTATCTACTAGTTCATCTAAATTTTGCTCATGGTCAAATATAGGGATGCTGCAACTTTGTTGACTCCATTTCCCTCTGCTCCGCTGTTTGCTAGGGCCCTCACGCGTGTATTTTTTCTAGTATTCACCTCTGCATTATGGTTTCTTGAAAATGTTAAATCAAGGAAAAGACTAAAGATATCGTTGTCTACTCTCGAGGACCGTGATATCATGGAGAAGCTGAATGCATCTACAGTCAGCATTCGCAATGTAGAGATTGAATCATCGTGTAAGTTACACCAAGCTCTAAGAATTTTTTCTTTGCCGTCTTGTCTAACAGTTCTACGTATTAATGACAATAACTTGAATTCGGAGGATGTTCTTGCTTTAATGAGGTCTCTTAGTACCGGGAATAGCTTACATGAATTATATTTATCTCGTACAAGATTTAAAGATAATACCTTCATTAGTTTCTTAGATGTACTGATCAGTTGTAGCAGTCTGAGAAAATTATGTTTAATTGATAATGGCTTAACTAAACAAGAAATTAACCTCTTAATTACTGCATTTAAACGGATGAAGAATCTTGTAAATTTAAATTTATCTAAAAGTAACCTGACAGAGACACAAGCCAATGACATATTGCGGAAAGATGGAGAAGGTAAGTGCATTGTTTCTTTAGATTTATCACAAAATGCATTGCAGGGAAATGAAATCATCTTTGGAATTTGTCAACTACAATCACTCGAAGAACTAAATCTCACTGGTAACTACATGGGAAACATGCATAAGTTAGAGAAACAACTTGATCATTTACCAATTAACACCAAAACCATTTCGTTGTCATCCAGTCACATGATGCCTATGGACATTAGTTGTTTTTGTTTTTTAGTCAAGTCAGATCTGCTTAAGCTCAACTTAGATTTTAATCATGTTGGTAATTCGATCTTGTCGCTGTTTTCACAATCGTTTAAGCGTTTACAAGTGTTAAGTTTAGCAAATACTGATATCGGTGGACCTGCTGTTAAGGGTTTGGCTACCCTACTCTCTTTGGTGGGAGAACTTGAAGAATTGAATCTATCTTCCAATAATCTTGTGTTGGCAGATTTTCAACACCTTCAATCACCCTTATCAAACTTAACTCAGTTGAAGAGGTTGAATTTAAGCAACAATCCCGATGGAATTTCAGTTATTTTGCATGAAATCCTGCCTTCGCTGAAATATCTGGAGGAGTTTAGGCTAAGTAACGTGCATTTAAATGGTGACGATTTAAACAAAACATGCGACTCTCTTGCATCCTTAAAGGGTCTAAAACACCTTGACCTAAGCATGAATGCTATTGGTCCGGATGGAACAAGAGCACTTGCAAACATTCTAAAGGAGTTTCCGTTGTTAGAAGGGCTAGACATGAGTAAATCGTGTATCAAGGAAGATGAAATAAGTGTATTGTTTCGGGAGTTAGATTGCTTAAACAGATTGAAATATTTGAATTTGTCAGGCAATCGAATTGATATTGAGGTCATACGTGATCCCGTGTTTTTACCATCGATGTTAGAAGAGTTGATTTTCAGTAACATTATTCATGGCGGAAAACTTTTTTCCATTATAAGTTCTCTACAACATCTTCGAAAACTACATCTCAGTGAAATAAATTTAAGACCATGCGATGTTGAAGCGTTAACCTTCATGTTGTTGTTGTTGCTGTTGTTGGAAGAACTAGTTTTGGCTAAAATTGTTTGTACTGACTGTGGAAAAATCTTTAGTGCGATAAAAACGTTGAAAAATATTAAAAAAATTGATCTAACAGGTATGAAAATACCGGACGGAAACGCATTTGCTGAGACGCTATCGTCCCTTTTGCCCTTGGAAGAATTAGTTTTAACTAATATTAGTGTTGCGGACAATGAATGTAAAATAATCTTTGGTGCAATAAAGTCGTTGAAGAAACTCAAAATACTTGATCTAACTGGTATAAAAGTGCCTGACGGAAATGCTATAGCTGAGATGCTATCGTCCCTTTTGTTATTGGAAGAGCTGGTTTTAGCTAAGACGGATGTTGTGTGGCGGAATGCTGAAATCTTTAGTAAAATAAAGTTGTTGAAAAATCTGAGAAAGCTTCACCTTGGTAGTATGCGTTTATGGAACGAAAAAGGCGTCTTTGATATGTTGTCGTCTTTTTCATTTCTGGAAGACATAGTGTTTCCTCGTGTTAATTTAGTGCATGCTGATGATATTATAACTTTTAGTGCTTTGAAGTCAGTAAAATATTTAAAAATTCTTAATCTACGTGTAACTTGCGACATGGCAGAATATTTTGCAAGCGTGTTGCCATCACTGACGTTGTTGGAGAAGCTAGTGTTGCTAAATGGTAATATTGATCGTGAAAGTGAAAAACAAGTGCTTGCTGCGGTAGGAAGATTAACGTATTTAAAAGAATTGGAGTTAAAGTGGGATAAGATCTCCCAAGCTGGCGCAGACAGTTTAGCTGAGGTCTTACCATTACTGCAGTTGCTGGAAAAGGTTGTGTTGGGGTATGTCGGTTGTGATGATGAAGGTGAAAAACGACTGTTCACTTCAATAGGAAAATTGTCTTATTTAAAAGAATTAAAGTTATATTTCGGTGGTATTACCCAGGTCGGCGCAGACAGATTAGCTGAGGTCTTACTATCGCTGCAGTTGTTGGAAAAGATAGAGTTGTTCAAATTTAGTGATGATTCTATGGGTCATTTAAGTGGAAGACAACTGTTTGCTGCAATAGGGAAGTTAAAATATTTAAAAGAATTAGAGTTAGAGTGGTATGGGATTGCCCATGCTGACGCAGACAGTTTAGCTGAGGTCTTACCATCACTGAAGTTGTTGGAAAAGCTAGTGTTGGGGTCTGTCGATTGTGATAATCATGATGAAACTGAAAAACAACTGTTCACTGCAGTAGGAAAATTGACTTATTTAAAAGAATTAGAGTTAAATTTGTATTGTATTACCCAGGCTGGCGCAGACAGTTTAGCTGAGGTCTTACCATCACTGCAGTTGTTGGAAAGGCTAGTGTTGGACCAATATATTGAAAATATTATGGATGATTTAAGTGGAAAACAACTGTTTGCTGCAGTAGGAAAATTGACGTATTTAAAAGAATTAAAGTTACAGTTGTGTATAATAACCCAAAATGACGCAGACACTTTAGCTGAGGTCTTACCATCGCTTCAGTTGTTGGAAAAGCTAGTGTTGGATTTTGTTGATAAAAGTGGAAAACAACTATTTGCTTCAGTAGGAAAATTGACTTATTTAAAAGAATTAGAGTTAAAGTTTTGTACGATTACCCAAGCTGGCGCAGACAGTTTAGCTGAGGTCTTGCCGTCACTACAGTTGTTGGAAAAGCTAGTGTTGAGAAATGCTGATTTTGATTATATTGTTGATGAAAGTAGAAAACAACTGTTTGCTGCAGTAGGAAAATTGCCGTATTTAAAAGAATTAGAGTTAGGCCACTGGTGTGAGACTACTCAAACTGGCCCAGGACGTTTTGCCGAGGTCTTGCTGTCACTGCCACATGCGCAGTTGTTGGAAAAGCTAGTGTTGCATTATGTTGGTTCTGGTGATGATATTGATGATGAAAGTGGAAAACAACTGTTTGCTGCAGTAGGGAAGCTGACATATTTAAAAGAATTAGACTTACGCTCGTGTGAGATTACCCAGGCTGGCGCAGACAGTTTGGCTGAGGTCTTGCCATCACTGCAGTTGTTGGAAATGCTATCGTTACGTGAGATTGACTTCAGAAATGTTAACGACCACCAACTGTTTAGTGCTGTAGGATCATTGAATTATTTGAAGGAACTTCATCTTTACAGAAGTAAAATCACTGATGCTGGTGCAGAAATTTTAATAGATGCATTACCATCTTTACGCAACTTAACATGCATTATATTATTTGAGATATGTGAACCATTGAGGAGTAGGCTTATAGCAGCGGCAGGCCGGGTTCCAGGATTGGAAGTAATTTGAGGTTCATCTTAACCAACATTTCCACCCAGACTCGTGTACGCGTTTCTTGCTGAGGAGTGCCTTTTGTATTATTATACAATAGTACGCGAAGATAATATTGAAATAGAACATTTTTTACCTAAAGGGTAACGCATAATATGGTGCGAACACTAATGTGATCTTCATTGGACATGCAGAATACTCAATATTTGCAAGTTGTGCATGACGCTTTTAAAGGGTAGTTGTTTGTTTGAAGAACAGTTTTACAGTAAGCCTTGTGTTTTAATAACAATGACATTTTGCTGTTGGTCGTAATAATATAAAATAACGCATCCTTAAATGCATTTATAAAACCGCTTTTTCACATATTCACAATTCTTAAAAATAAAAATAACGATCAGAAATAATTTTAAAAATAGATATATAATAACAATAATGATAATTACTATTAGTGTTGATGATATAATTAATAATACAAATTCATGATAAAAATAATAACATGATAATAATTATGCAGGTATATATATTAATTTTACATTTACCTATCTTTAATTCTAAACTACGATAACACACAAATATACAGTAAAACACAAGGTGACAATGAACAATGAAATAATATGTAAAAAATAATTGTAAAAAATGATAAATGGATAGGTGGTTTATGAAAATAATGTTCAATGAGGATACCAAAAGTTTCTTGGAATGAATTGTATGGCCATATATATCAGACATGCAATGGACGTAATATATCGTATAGAGGAGCTGTGCGGTTTCAGAAATTTCATCTCGGTTCCAGAAATTTCATCTCGGTTTTGTTTTCGTTTTTGTGGGGTGGACGAACCTCTGTTCGGTGTCGGTATTTTGAAAAGAAGAAAAATTCAAGGCATTCGCTCAGTAAATTATAATGTAACTTCAAAATAAAGTTAAATAACACAAAAACATCTTAATTTCTTTGATTTCCTTAAAAAATCTAAATCTCGGTGCCGACTTACGGTGCTAAAAAAGTAACGGAATGACCGAATAGTTCAATTAACAGCACAGCTCTAATATCGTATATATTCAGATATCTAATAAGCTTATAGAAAAGCAGTGATCGCCGATTGGAATGATATAGGTGACTTAATTAATATTGACTTTATACGCCCATTTCCATTCCAGAAAATTTTCAACAGAACGAAAATTTTGTAAAATGTGATTAGTTGACACAAATTTCGTCGGAAAAATATTTTGAAGTTTAAAATTTTCAACTTTTAACAATGATATTTTCGGAAAATTTTCTGTTCGTGGAAATTTTCCTTGAGTGGAAATTGGCTTTTAGATTGAGTATAGGGAGTTTGGCAAATACAACGGCGATGTCGATGAAAACGTTCATTAGTAATAACAATTTTACTCCAAGGACCAAGATGAAGGAAACGATAAATTGTTTATTCACATCATTTTCATGTTTTAATTGACATTTACAATGTTGGAAGTCATTTTGTATGATTTCACTGACTGGTGCTGCTCAACACTTGTCAAAACAAAAATAAATACTGTTGAAAGGCAAATCAAATTTTTTTAGTACATGCTTTTGCTCAAGTACAAAAAGTATTAATTCTTAATGTTTTATCTGGTGCTGTTTTAACTTGCCTAACTCCCCAGTAGCGAACATATATATATATATATATAAATAAATTTGATCCTGTTCGACATATTTCCTCTCCCCCCTTCTTAGGATATCTAATGGTCTATATTATGCCATATGTGCTATCAATTTATTATTACAATATCAATATTGTTTCTTTTAATTGTTATTAGTGTTATTATTCTAGCGGTGCATAGAAAAATATAATTTACGTTAATATTTGACATATACTACTTTTTATTTTTTGCTTTATTAAACCCTTTCATCAATAACGACGCCATCTGCAATCGTGATGCATTGTTGGAAAAACTCAGATTAAAAAGCTGTTTGTGTGGGTTGGTTTGTACCTATATAGGCTAGATATGAACAGGCTTTGTGATTGGTTGAGCATGAATAAGAGACGATTATCTTCAGGGGGCAGTTGTTCAAAGCTGCAAGGGTTAGCGCTAACCCTTTGTTAAAATTTAACCTGCAGTTTTAGTTTATGTATATTTCTGCACGTCTGTTTATTTCACAACTTCAGACAAGAAAACTCCTGATTCAGACAACATCTCTGAAGAAATATTTCCAAATTTATAAACAAGCTCTTGGGAAGTTTGCTTTGAATTTTAGGTTAACCTAGGGTTGAGCTAACCCAGCTTTGAACAACCGCGGCTCCAGAAATCAAGCCATAAATAATGCACTGAAACACTTTTGGTTCAGAAAACCAATCTCAAAATAGGTTCATATTGTAGGTATAGGTACTTACCGGTTTGTCCCACAAAGAAAGATTTCATAGATTTTATGCCCTAAATTAATTAAATGAACACGTTCTTTTGAACAGTCTAGTAACGCAAAGATTGAATAAAAATCATACGTTCTCAATATGCACGTAGTGCCAAATAAGATTAAGTAAATTGATTTTAACGGTTTCATCTATTTTCCCACAAATATTGCCTGTTTTAATTTCAACCAAAAATAAAAAATTACTCGTTAATTTTTTGACAGTATTTTCAAACTTTCAGTTACCATAATATTCAAGCATAACGCATTACTATTGTAAGACTATAAGAATTGTCGTTTTTGGTGAGGGGGGCTTTTGTTACATGAACAAAATAATTGTAAAGGGTATATAATATTTACTGGTAGTAGACATCTTTTAGAAATAGTAGCTATTTGTTTGGACAATTGACTTTTATTCATCAATGTTAATTTCAATACTAGCTTAAAGATAAAGCGTTCTGCTTTTGTATTATTATTGTAGGCTAAGTTTAGATTTTTAGCGCTGAATATCTTGCAGTAAATGTGAAGCAGCGTAAAGAAATAGTGTTTTCTTAAGAATATAAGTGTTAATGTTCTGTGAATTATATTAATATTCTGGAGTTCAATAAATGGAAATGAACAGAGTTGTTTTAAGTGGGTTTTTGTTCTTATTCCTAACAACAGACCAAACTTGTAAGATAAATTGATCAAAAATCTTACTGAACTTATTATACCCAGGACTATTCTTCCGTGCAAAATTGTGCTTTATAATCTATATATCTGAATGAATCGCAATGACTAAACAGCTAAAAGAGTCTTGTAAAGACATGGGCGAAACTAGCCACTTTTAATGGGGGGGGGGGGGGGTCTGGCAGAATTGCCCTGCCAAAATCAATGATGCCCTGCAGCATATGTTACGTGTATAATTGGACAGCTGATGTCAATGTACATGCATACGAACTGCTTATTGTTTGCTAGCTGTAAGTTACTCAATGACTCTACATTCTATCATTTAAAATCTTTGATTGCCCTGCCAATCGAGATGATTCGCATTGGGGGGGGGGGGGGCACCCCCCCCC